AGCCAACACTGGGGTGAGCTCTGGGGCTGGAGCTTACTGGGTTACTGGCGGGCTTGACTTCGTAGCGGCCGGCGGGGCTGACTCGGGAACGGCCGGCGGAGCGAGCTCTGGGGCTGGAGCCGACACTGGAGCGAGCTCTGGGGCTAGGATGAAGGCAGAGAACAGTCCTTTTTCTCTTCATCCTCCTCCTTTGGTTACGGGGGAACTGGGCAGCCAGTGGGCTTGTCGTTGCGGTTACTGGCGGGCTTGACTTCGTAGCGGCCGGCGGGGCTGACTCGGGAACGGCCGGTGGGCTGGAGAGAGCCGCGGTCGGCAGGCTTGACTTCATAGTATTGGGCTGTCGACTAGGGTGGAGCTTCGGAGGACAGCGGGGAATTTGGGGTTAGGCAGGCGGTAGGAGCCGTTGGAGAGGTATGTGGAGGTTCTTGGTGTGGGGTGAGCTGGGGAGATGCAGCGCGTTCCAGCGGGAGTTAGATGACGAGGCTTGGGAAGTTTCTTTACTTCTTCAACTTCCAAATCTGAACCATTTAAGAACAGCACAAGATTAATCAGCTCGATCAAAGGAAGATCGCAGCGGATTATCTCGTCATCCATCCCCAGCAGGAAGCACGCACCTAGAGCGGCATCGTGCCAGCTCACCCGGTTAGAGAGCTCGACACATATCACTCCAACCTCAGACCGCCCTGCCGCAAACCCCACGTCCTCAGTTGCAGTCATCTTTTTGTGGTTGAGTCTTCTGTAACGGTGCATAGGAGGGAAACGAGGAGACGAGGAGATGACTTTCAAAACTTTACTTTTAATTAACAAACCAAATGAAAAGGAACACTAACATAGGGAGCGCAGGAGACACACATGGAATGACGTTTAAGACTCGACAAGAAAACATGAGGCAGACTACACATTTATACTAAACTTAACGAGGGACAGACCGGTGTGGGGAATCAACTAATAATGACAACGAGAACAGGAAACCAAACCAAATATGGGCATAAGGAAACACGAGAGAGAACTAGAACTTGGGGAACAAAACACAAGAGACAGGAACACAGGCCTGACAATAACATACTATTTTGAGTTTTTGTTGATTAAACCCGTCTCTCTCTCTTTTTTTTTTTTTTGTTATTAACTCAAATTTTTAGTTTCAGTGAACTGAAAGGCAACCAGGTTAGTTACTTTAATCTAAACCAGCAATGTTTTTACAGTGAGCTTCTTATAGAAATGTGTTTCTGAAAAAGTCACATCTGATGTTGGTCAGGAGGTTGCAGAGTTTCTTTCTGTCTGGACCCCATTATTACAGCTCTTGATACATTTCAGACTTTTACACCCAAAACATCTTAGTCATAGCGTTAATTTAATTATTCAATTTTCATTCATTTTTAATGTTTTATTTAGGATTTAATTTGATATGCATTATGTTTTAATATTTACTTGTATCAGTTGTGTATAAAGGGGTAGTGCTGTGCGTTACATTGAAGCTCATTATGTTTTAAGACTCACGCCCAGTGTCTTTCACTGCCATGTTTTAATTTTGAATTCAGAAATATTTTATCTCACATCACAGAGTGCAAAAACAAGGGCAGTGATTTGGAAGTGAGAACTGAAATTTTTTATCAAACGTCTGTATAATAAATTAGTGTTTACTGTCTGACTGCATTACAGCGTGGACTGAGTGTGGGGGGAATGAAACGAGGAGAGAGCAGAAGAGAGAAAGGGCCGCGGCAGGAATAAATAATCATTTGTCCAGGTTAGGATTCCAGCGGTGTATCTTACGTCTGTTAGTTGCACTAGTGCTATCATTCGCCCACCATTAATATCCAATTTCATATGAAGCAAGAAACCTTGTTTAGCAGGAATAAAATATGGTCAGATAACAGCAGGACACCATCCTGCTCACATAATTACCCAAACGCGGCGCGGGGAGGGATCAGATCCGCGGCTGGGCAGGGGGCATCGGCGATAAGCGCCCGGCGCGCTCCCACACACTGGTAATTACTTTATTGATAATTTGCAGGGAAAATTGCCTGAGCCAATCGTTGCTGCTAGATTTAATGGATTGGAGAAAAAACTTTAAAAAAAGCACCTTTCAAAAGGATTTTAAATATTTCTAGGCCATAGGGGAAGGCTTTTCCTCTGGCGATAATAGCTGAAAGTCATGTAAAATAGCCCACTCTTGGCATGATGCTGCTGGACGCGTGTGTTTATCTGGCCATCCCGCATTAACACATTTACCCCCTCGCCTTAAATGAGGTCATAATTCTCTAAGGGTAAGGCCTTGGTAATGAAATTGACATTTAGCAGCCGCACCACAGTCTATTAACTACAATAAATTTAATTTGCAACAGGCCCAGAAGTGAGCTGGGCTGCGGAAAGAGAGAAAGAGATGAAAAAGCGGCGAACCGACGGTGCTGGTGTTTATTACATGCGCCTGGCCACAAGTACATTTGCTAAAATAAGACCGCTCTTGTGTTCTCTCGTGTAACTATAACTGCTTTTGCTCTGCCTGCTAAACGATCAGATAAAACAACGTAAAAAATAGAAGTGCTGCAGATTTAGTGTTTTTCCAGACTCGGGTTTTTCAAATAGTGATCTGCTTCTAGACCCCGTCTCTAATGTCAGGAATATTGTTAAAGCTGATGAAACAAGGTTACCTGCATCCTACAAAAGAAGGTTTTTGGAAGCTTTCCCCGATGCTGAGAATTGTTAAAGCAATAGTTCACCCAAAAATGAAAATCATTTACTCGTCACAAACCTGTATGACTTGGATAAATAAATAATTTGAAAAAAGGGATCACCAAAATGCTTTTGGCGTCCTTCAAAATATCTTCTGTTTTCCACAAAAGAAAGTCGTACTGGTTTGGAACAACACGAGGGTGAGAGAATGATGCCGGTTTTCACTTTCACTATCCCTAAGCAATGCACATTAGTGCCGAATTATGATGACATTGTAGCACAACAGTTACGAATCTTCCCTGAATTGACTTTACAATGCATGGGCCAATATATTGCACTGGAATAAACAAATGCAGACTGTGCAATGAAACTATGAAGATTGTAGAATTCTGTACTTTAAAAATACGAAGCATTACATGTTTTAAAACGAAATTAACATAAATGAATAAGAAATGTGTGTAAAGAATTAAAAATTACAGCTGTCCTACAGTTGTGCCATCATTTTCACCACACTTAACAATCATTCTGCCCTTAACGTTTTATCAAAAGCTAGCGTAGTCACTGAAGAGCCTGCTTGAGATCTCAAGTGATTTTTTTTGTTTGTTTTTGTCTTGTCTCGTTTTTAAAAATAATCGTTGTTAAAATACCTTTATTTCAAATCAAGCTGCAAGCTTTTTTTCAAATTATGCAAAAACATTGCATTTTGTGTATTTAAGATAGTGGGAAAGTATTTTTTTATTTCATGTGTTTTAATGAAAAAAAAAAAAATCCAAATCCATTTCTGTTTACATAGATTTCTGTTGTTATATATTTGCATATTTGCAAATATGCAAATATATTTGCCATCATTAATGTTGGAGATTATAGCTGTTATGCTATAGAATGTTAAAGGTACGTTGGTGTAGCTTTATCTTGTTGCAGATTATATGTGAGCCAGGAGCACAAAAGCAGTGTTAAGTCGCTGGGGGATATTTGTAGCAATAGCCAACAATACATTGTATGGGTCAAAATCATACATTTTTCTTTTATGCCAAAAATCATTAGGATATTAAGTAAAGATCATGTTCCATGAAGATATTTTGTAAATGTCCTACCGTAAATATATCAAAACTTAATTTTTGATTAGTAATATGCATTGCTAAGAACTTTTTTGGACAACTTTAAAGATGATTTTCTCAATATATAGATTTTTTTGCACCCTCAGATTCCAGATTTTCAAATAGTTGTATCTCGACCGAATATTGTTCTATCCTAACAAACCTTACATCAATGGAAATATTATTTATTCAGCTTTCAGATGATGTATAAATCTCAATTTTGAAAAATTGGCACTTACGGCTGGTTTTGTGGTCCAGGGACTTGATTTTAGGGTCACATGATCATGTTATTTTTAAATTGGTGTGATTATTTGGTCATATGACTTGTATATTTTGATATGGCTCCTGATTTGGCATGGATTGTGTAAAACCATAGTCTTGTTTCTTTTTTAATGGACAAATGAATATTTTTTTTAAAATTGCAAATAGAATCAGTACAGAAGTGTGTGTGTGTGTCACGGTGTGGATGTATGGCTCTGGAGTCTGTTGCTTTGGTAAGTAAAATCCTTTAAATCTCGCTGTATTCTCTAGCTGTCTGAAGGATCGATACAGCATGTGTCCAGTCATAGCGAGCTCCTCTCTAATGGCCTCTTCATGCAGCCAATAGGCTTTGGCACGAGTGCTTGTAAGTGACACCAATGATCGATCATGAAAACAGTGATTAGTCATGATCTGACTTTAAAAACACAGTAACAACTCTACACATGCACGTCAAAAAGGGGACCGGTTTTACTTTTGTCATTAGTTATGATGTGATTTTTGGTATGGTTTACAGCATGATCCAAATAAATGGTCCAGTTGTTTGTGACACCAACACTTTAAAGACTAAAGACATTTTCAGTTCACCTAAAAATTAAAATTCTGTCATTTGCTCACCCTCATGTCCTTTCTAACCTGTATGATTTGCTTTATTGTGTGATATTTTTTGTCAGTGGGCACCATTGTTGTTCAAAACATCATCCTTTCCCCGTCATTGCAGACCTTCTTTACTTACAGATATGTTATAGTCACATAAGCACAGATTACATAAACCTGAAATTTCCTGCCAAATCTAACCCAACCACTCAAAATATAAATCACTGAATTAAGACTTAATAGTGAACCAAAGGAAGGAAAATTACTCAATAATGGAATTTTGTTTTTACCTCAAAAATCTTTTGTAGTGCGCACATTTGCTTTGAAGTATATATGAATCAAGGTGAAATTAAAGTGGATCGTTGGGCTCTTCAAAACATGACCAGGTGCTATATGAAAATGCATGGTCCAAAATAGTGGTTCATGATTAAAGGGGTCATATGATGCTTTTTTAAAGATCATTATTTTGTGTATTTGGTGTAACAGAATATGTTGACATGCTTTAATGTTCAAAAAACATTATTTTTCAAATGCTGTACATTATTGTAGGTCCTCTATGCCCCGCCTCTCTCAAACGCTTCGTTTTCTACAAAGCCCCTCCTTCCGACAAGCGCAGTCTGCTCTGATTGGCCAGCTGACCCAGTGCATTGTGATTGGCCGAACACCGCAAGCACTCGTCGGAAATGTAACGCCCCTTACCATAATCGCCAGCTTCATCTTTCAAAATAAATGTAAAGATAGAGCCCGAAAGGGGAACAGAGTCGTGTGACAGACACAGTGATGAAGCTGGGCTCTCTCGCTCTCTCACACACACACACACACACACACACACACACACACGCACACGATGCACAAAACTCCGCATCTGAACAGTCAATAGCAAATACTAAAACTAATAACAAAACAGTAGCTGATTCAGAAGAGCCAGATTGTCATAGCAAAGTCAGAATGACCTCCTCTCCTAGGTTCACGAAACGGTCATCCATAAAATGCATTGCTGTTCTGTTGTAAGTCATCTTAAAGATTCCTAAATGCATCTACTTCCGGAAAGGCCAAATAAAGTGCTTTTGCTTTTGTCTAGAAACACACAGCGTCTCCCTGACATGGCTGCTTCAACACTAACTGCGGTTACTGAAACCACGCCTTCTTTCTTTGCGTGCACATTTGGGCGCATTATGCAAATATTTCCACATAGTGAGGTAGATATGTGGGGGCGTGTTAGAACGAGGCATTTTAGGGGGGCCGTGGTCGAATCTTAACTTTAATAAAGTATATCTCTTTGGTTTTGAGACTTCAGGGATCTTATCTATGCACAATCAGCTTGTAACACTCCAAAGAGAAAGGAAAACTTGAAATCGCATCATATGACCCCTTTAATGTAGTATGTTAGTCTTCAGGAAGGGCAGAAATACACGCTTTATTAAGATTTCCCGCACATACTAATATAATGATGCTCTTTAGCATGCATATTATTAGCATATTGCCGTTTATTAGTAATTATAAAGCACCTTGTTCAGCATGAGCATATTTTAGATCCCTTAATCCTTAAACCCATACCCATTAGGAGTTTGAGACGAAAATCATAGTTAATAGTTAGTTAATAGGGAAAATTGGTCCCCAAACTAAACTGATTTTCTTATGTAGTTTGTTACTTTTGTAACAGGTCTGTAATAATGAATGTGCAAGACAATGAAAGACGTCTGTGTGACGTGGGTCCCTGTAATATATAGCCGATTTCAGGTTTACTGCCCTTGTGGGGATATTTGATCCCCGCAATTTAGGTTACATTTGTACATTTATAACACTATACTTTGTGTTATATTACCTTGGCATTAAATTACAGCAAAGTTAACACTGTTGTCCCTCTGAGGGAGTGACAGAAAATTTGACATCTTTCTTTTTTTCTCTTTTGTAAAGCCGTAGAAATTCTATCGTGGATTTTTCTTTTGCTATTGGAGCCAAAAATTGGAAATGTAAAAAAGGTCCACGGCTGTGGAATTAGTTTCTATGACTTTCATCACGCCAGTGTTGATTTAGAGATTCAATCACCCTGGCCACAATTGAGTTTTTATGAATTGCACCTTTTGGAGTTAGAATAATAATTAGTGCTGTCAAACGATTAATGGCGTTAAAGTTTTTGTTTGCATAATATATGTATGTGTACTGTATATATTTATTATGTACACTACCGGTCAAAAGTTTGGGATCAGTAAGACGTGTAATGTTTTTAAAGAAGTGTCTTCTGCTCATCAAGGATGCATTTATTCAAAATATAAATCTTTTTTAACAATATAAATCTTTGCTATCACTTCTTATCAATTTAACACATCCTCGCTGAATAAAAGCAAGTACAATTTTTAATAAAAGTAATAAATAAAAAGTAAATAAAATTTACTGACCTCAAACTTTTGAACAGTAGTGTTTATTGTTAGAAAAGATTTCTATTTTAAATACATGCTCTTCTTTAAAACTTTTTATTCATCAAAGAATCCTGAAAAAAGTATCAGTTTCCAAAACAACATGAAGCAGCAACAGTTTCCAGCTCTGATAATAAATCAGCATATTATACTGATTTCTGAAGATCATGTGACACTGAAGACTGGAGTAATGATGCTGAAAATACAGCTGCGCATCTCAGAAATACATTACAGTTTAATGTATATTAAAATAGAAAAACGTAATTTTACATCATAATAACATTTCACAATATTACATTTTTCCCCTGTATTTTTGATCAAATAAATGCAGCCTTGATGAGCAGAAGAAACTCCTGTAAAAACATTAAAACTTGTTCTGATCCCAAACTTTTGACCGGTAGTGTATATATAAATACACGCACATACAGTAAATCTTTTGAAAATATTTACATGTATATACATTTATATATTTATATTATATTTAATATATAAACACAACATATTTTTCTTAAATATATACTTGCATGTGTTTGTATTTATATGTACATACACACACACACAAGCGTATTATGTAAACAAAAAAACAAAAACTTTTATTTTGGATGCGATTAATCGCGATTAATCGTTTGACAGCACTAATAATAATCTTTCTTTTGCATGCTCAACCCAACCCCTACTTAGGACTGGTTTTGCTTTTTCAAGTTGCTTTAGATGTTTTATCAGTTTCAGTGTAATGTTTGGGTATTGTGTGTTTCTTGGAGGTCTCGCTCGCGTCACCGAAGGTCTCGCAGTCGCAGCAGAGATCGCGATCGTGGCCAGCGTCGAGACCGAGACCGAGACAAAGACCGGACACGGGACAGAACTAAAGACAAAGAGACGGACAAAGCCAAAGACAAACAAAGGTAATACTTTCTTTTTGTGACATTTCGGTTTCTAGTTTTCTCTAGCACACACACACACACACACACACACTCCCAGATTGCACCGAGTCATCAATACACCCGTCTCATGTCTGTGTAGGAAATCTTATAGTCTGGATTCAGCTGAGAGTTCAGCTCAATCGTGTGGTAGGCCTCATCCATCCAGCCTGATATCTGCCCTTCAAACTCAGTGTATACACCGTCCCGCTGGGCGTCTAATGCGTTTGCTGCTCTCTCCCCGTCTTGATTTATGCCCCGGTGTAATATGCGTGAGCAAGAGCTAACTGCATTTCCATCCAGCTCTGCTGTTCGCCGCTCTCAAACCCTTCCTCGACTCCTGAGAGACAAAGCGTTCTCCGTTCCACTTCCACCATTGGCTCACGCATTGCTAAACTAGCTCACGACACGGAAACACCAGTAATTATGCACAATCTGTTCAAGATGTTGTTGATCCGTACAGACGTTCTGATGTTTGGACGGGTCTGGAAATGTTTCCAAATAAAGGTATACATCTGACTAAGTGACGGCAGTAATTATTACACGTAGCATTCATCATTAGGTGTAATAATTAGAGGGGCCTGTGAAGCTGCTGTCTGTGAGCGTTGATTGGCTGTGAAGTAAGCCGCTAATGAGAGCATAGTCACATGCCCATAAACAACCTCTAGAGAGAAATGGACTGCTTGCACAACTATTTCCGTGTTCGACTTAATTACAGCTTTAATTGCATCTACACACAGACAGTTACACATGAGAACACATTATTATTGTTATTACTTCATTTTAGGGCTGTCCGTTGTCTAAAACAATGATTACATTCTCTGTGTAAAACATAAATCATATTAAACCTACTGAAATGTGCCTATAAATGTGTTTTCTTTTCCAAATGTGCATAATTTAGGTCACACTTTAGTTTGGGCACCGATTTTCACTATTAACATAGTATTAACTATTACTCGGTAAACTCCAATTTGCTGCTTATTAATAGTTAGTATGAATGAATGAATGAATAAATAATAGTTAGTAAGTTAGTTAGTTATTGTGTAATAATTACTCATGTCATGTTATAAGATTTTGGTTATATTGCCCACCCTTAAATTGACCAGTGTTTCAGTGTTAAATAAGGCAACCACATGAGTTTTGTACAATCATATATTATTTTATGCTTAAGAAAGGGGAAAAAAACTCGGAAATAGGTCCCAAAAATGAAAATCCTGTCATTATTTACTCACTCTCATGATATCTAAACCTGAATGACTGACTTTAACCCTCTCGTTGTGTTACAGTCATTTTGACTTGGAGAGGATTTTCTTTTTCCTGAAAATGCAAGTTAATGTTATTGCTAAAACGTATTAACTTTGCTCACTCGGGGTATAATCACTTCCCATCATTTTTTGGATATTTTTTGTACTTTTTGGGGGGATTTTTTTTTACCCCCACCACCTTTCTTACACTTGTGGTGTTCCTGGTCAGAATGACTAGCCTACAAATGCTTATACATTTCTCATTATGCTACATTATCACCAAATATTGGATTAGATTTTGTGTCAACTTGTTTTTTTTCAATTAGGTCAGGCTTTGTATTTATTTTTCAATCGTAGGCCTCATTGAGCTGAGATTATATTGGTCAAAAATAACCTTCCATTGAAAATGAATAGGGGAGTTTGGAAATAAGAGAAACATTTACTGTTCAGGGTACATGTACTCTCATGCTTCTGCACACACACACACACACACACACTCGCCCGCACGCACACACACACACACACACACTCGCCCGCACGCACACACACACACACACACACTCGCCCGCACGCACACACACACACACACACACTCGCCCGCACGCACACACACACACACACACACTCGCCCGCACGCACACACACACACACACACACTCGCCCGCACGCACACACACACACACACACACTCGCCCGCACGCACACACACACACACACACACTCGCCCGCACGCACACACACACACACACACACTCGCCCGCACGCACACACACACACACACACACTCGCCCGCACGCACACACACACACACACACACTCGCCCGCACGCACACACACACACACACACACTCGCCCGCACGCACACACACACACACACACACTCGCCCGCACGCACACACACACACACACACACTCGCCCGCACGCACACACACACACACACACACTCGCCCGCACGCACACACACACACACACACACTCGCCCGCACGCACACACACACACACACACACTCGCCCGCACGCACACACACACACACACACACTCGCCCGCACGCACACACACACACACACACACTCGCCCGCACGCACACACACACACACACACACTCGCCCGCACGCACACACACACACACACACACTCGCCCGCACGCACACACACACACACACACACTCGCCCGCACGCACACACACACACACACACACTCGCCCGCACGCACACACACACACACACACACTCGCCCGCACGCACACACACACACACACACACTCGCCCGCACGCACACACACACACACACACACTCGCCCGCACGCACACACACACACACACACACTCGCACGCACGCACACACACACACACGCACACACACACACACACTCTCACACTCTCTCTCACACACACACTCACACACACTCTCTCTCTCACACACACACACACACGTTTATGTACACAAACAAACTATATTGAGTATTGCAGGCTTTCTTTCTTTCTCACAGAGATGAACGTTATCATCATATGATTGAGGCTCAGATCAGTGAAGCCTACCGTTCATTCAGTTACAAAAATAAATTCAAAACCTGTGCTAACTGAAGTAAAACAAGTTGACAAAAATATGGAATCAAATATTTGGTCATAATATAGCATAGTGAGATTTATAAGCTATTTTTTTATATGGAGGTCAATTTTCACTGTAAACACTACAAGTGTGACTTTTTTTTTGTGCAAAATAAAAGCATTTCAAAACAAACTCTCTGGCTAAACAAAGCACACTAGTGTGATAAACAGTGCAAATTTATTTTCATATTTTATTGAATATTTGTGGATAATTTTGTCCACAATAACACTTTTTTCACTCAGTCAGATCAGTCAGCTCCAAAAACAAGTACAAATCCTGTCCTAATTGAAAGTAAACAAGCTGACTGGTAATAATACAGCATAACAAGAGATTTACAAGCATTTTTTTAAAGGCCAGTCATGTTTGACTGGGAACACCAAAGGTGCGATAGGTTTTTTTTTCACAGAGTTTCAGAGCTACTTGCTTGTCGTTTCCTCAGGTGATCTGGAAATGACTGGACGAGACACAATTTAATTGAATTGAATTCTAAATCTAACAAAGAACTAGTGATGATTGAGTGTAAACCGTAAACACAGGGTTTGATCCCCAGACACTGGCTGCTATTCTCTGTTTGTGTGTGTGCGTGTGTGTGTGCGCATGTGCGTATGAGTGTGTGTGTGTGTCTGTTTGTTTGTGTGTGTTCTGTATTTAGTTTCTCTGCAGCTTATGTGTCCTGAGGGAGTCAATAGATGTAATTGTGGCTGTAATTAGGGGATGTGGCTGGCATGACATTAACAAACACAAATGAGCAAACACAGGGGCCGTTATCTTAAACACTTTAGACCCTCGGGACCACTGCCTTAATCTGAGCTTCAATCTCCAGTAACTCCATTCACACTGATGTGTTTGTTCACTCACACACGGCCCTGTACACCTTCACCAACGTCTCTACTTATGACTCGTGTCAAAGTTGATTTATTGGAATTTCTTTTATGATATCTGGAGGGAACAGAGATTTGAAGCGGTGATAGGATGGTGTAGAAGCGGTCTGTGTTCTGTATGCAAGCATATGCAACTTGACGCAGATGGAAACCAGTAAGCAATGAAGTTAAAGATGTGTAACATGCACTCATCAAAGACCAAAAAATATAGTTTTTGTTTTGTTTAAAGAGTATGCATTTGCCTATATGTGCGAGTATTGACTTAAGAGTGAACCACCGATGAATCAAGCATTAAATAAAGCGAAATGATGGGGAACAGGTCTTGATTATTCTGGTTGGGGTATTTTGACAGGTTTCTGGGCACTGATAGGGTGCTGTGGTTGATTTCTAGGCAATAGGGGCTTTCATATCTACTGCCCTTTCCAGAAAATTACCAGTAAATAGACGTGCTAAATAGACGAAATTACTGGAAATCCTTCAACTACTGTTGATTCTCAAGTGTCTGAACTAGATGTTGGTCAATGACACAAGCTCCAGAACTTATTGCTGGCTGTTGAATATGGACATACAGAGTTGAACGGATACAGTAGGCTATAGTCAAATGCAAAATAATTATTTTATTTACATCTCTTATGCATTTCAAATTTGTGAAATCATCTCTGTCTATGATTGATGCATGCAATAGCCGTGACAGTAAAGACTTATACATTGTTACAAAAAATATATATATATATTCTAAATAAATGCTGTTCGTTCGAGTGTTCTGTTGATCAAAAAGTAAGAAAAAAAGGATTATGGTTTCCACAAAAATATTAAGCAGCAGCATTATGCAGAGGATCAGTGTGAAAATCTTTCCAAATTCAGGAACACAGCATGACAAATCAGAATTCTTTTGTTTTGAGTGTCGGTATATGGTAACTTTAGTGCAAATTGTTAGACCTGGGTAGGGATGTGCGATATTGACAAAAAATTATATCTCGATATTTTCTGGGATTTTATCGATAACAATAATTAGACGATATTTTGCTGAGTGTGTTATTGTGCTTGTACCTTAAGGACTGCCGAAGAAAAGTTGACTCCTAATATTCTTCATATTCTGTGTGCTGGTCAGTTCATACTGGGCAATATGGCGTCTAAAACGTAAGTCTCTTAATTAACTTATTGTTTACTGAATTCAATATCACATTTGTAATCATGGTAATTTTTGGAGAAAACGGCACTCTTCGCGACAGATGCACATAAAAAGCTC